TTAGCAGCATTTCTTACACATCTTAAATTCAGTGAAAGAAAATAAAGATAATAAATAATCTTTGTGAAAATTTTACTCAAAAATCTATCTTTACCGCAGGAGGGGGTAACTAAGACCAAGTACAATCAGTAGTTCCAAATTGGCAGAAAGAACGCTATGAGGAAGCTAAACTCCTTCAGTTACTAGCATCTTAATTATCATTTGAACTAATGAAAGATCTTACTTTCATACATTTCAGGAGGCTACTCGCGTATTCTTATAAATAACATGCAATCAACTTGTTCTATATTGAAAGATCCGCTGAAACGGGATTATCCCTAATGGATATATTAGTAATTAGAAAATCAACTTCAGCAAATTAAATTTTATTTCAAAAGTCTTTTTAAAAAAAAATAAATTTGTTGATTTTTCTGATGTAGTTAACTAGCGGAAAATAGGAAAATGAAACAGGAGAGACTAGTTACATTAAGGATTCATTAGAAAAAAGTAATAAATGGAATAATAAATTAGATATATGACACCTAACTTAATATGGTTGAGAAAATGACTTTATCAAATCATCAAAATAAAATATAAGTTCTCTTTCAGATTGTTCCAGCACTAATTATGCATCCAGCATTAGTTACACAAAAGTTCAGTAAAGTATAATATAAATTTTCACATAGTTTTTCTAAATGAGAAATTAAAAAGCAAATTTTTACTATGTATTACATTTTATGTGTTCTTAAACAACAGTGCAAGTCATAAAATTGAGAAACACAAAAAAAATGAGGAATTAACAAACATTTTTAGGAAACATTAAACATTTTAATAGTTTTGATTAAGAATAGAATAGGTATCAGAGAGATAGCTATTCTAAGCAGTGAATGTAGTGGGCTTTTGTTACTTAAATGTTTAAATATGCTTAAAACCTTTATGCTGCAGTTCAGGAAACCGATTCACTTCTATTAATTAGAATCTTTTTCATATACTAGTAGAATCCAACACTGTAATGTATCCGTCATGGCGAAATACAAAATTCGAGATTTCCAGTATATTATGATAGAATCCTAATTAGTTAAAATTGCTCTGATTCTCTTAGAGCATAAATAGAGTGGATCGAAATGTGAATCTTGGCATCTATATCACACTATTTGGATTTAGCAACCAAAATAAATTTGATTGGTGTTAAGACCAGCACATTTGAGTAAAATCCAAAGTTAAAAACTTTTGTGCCAGAAAAGTTTTAACAAACAGTGCAGTGTTTTTCTCCAAACTGCTAACATAAATAATAATTTATTCCAAACATGTCTATTTCGGGACGAGATGAAGTTTCCTACTTTTTTAATTTGTTCTCTAATCATACAGATACCAGTGAGAGGTCATTGTTTAAATCAATAAAATCGTTCCGTCACGACAATTCCGTATTGATTTGTGCAGTCGACAATTCAATTTTTTCATTCATCCGTTTTCCTTCAACTAATGTAGTATTATATCTTTTAAAATGCTAAGAGTATTTTAATTAAATTCCGCAACTTTGTTTCGGTAGTTTTAGTTTTCCAGGTAAGAGTTAAGCCTTTCCAAAACTTTTTCGAAAAGTTTGAAAATCAAAATTCTTTCAAAATCTAAGCAGCAGTGTAGAAAACAAACAATATATCACTATTAATACCTTCTAGAGATGTAATACTGTTAAAAATATACTGCCATCAAATTTAAAAGCGGTTATATAAAATCTCAAATTTCTGTTTCCTCTGAAATCTCTGAAGGATTTTCAACAATAAACTGAAGAGATAAGAAAGCTAACGCTATTCAGCTATAAATTTTATTGGAAGCCAAGAAAATTGTTGAAAATACAGTTCTTGATGTAGAATCCCTTAAGAAATTGGCATAAAGGTAACTTGAACTTGGAGCCACAGCAAGTCTAACTTCATGATTATGTTGAATGAACAAACCGTGTGGAATAAATTTTACAAAGCTATTAAGCTTCAGTTGCGCTTATTCAAGACATTTGACCGTAGTGATCTTTTGCAGACTAGCCACATTAATTAATATCATGTCTATTTTCTTTTTTGAAGTTTGTTTTCAGCATTAAAAAGAACAGAACAGTTTAATTTCTCAAATTTTTAAAAACGTCAAGACCATATTTTTGTAGAAGTACTGTTGATGCTTCAGTTTCTTTTATGGGACAACTTCAAGTACATTGACAAATCGACCAACTGGTTAGAGCGACCACTAATTCTTAAAATGATTATAAATAATTTTGTTATTGCTCTTCAACAAGCACACATTGAATTGGTGAGAAATAACAGTTCTTGAAATGATTGGTCGATCGCAACACTATGTGATGTTTTGGTTGTTGTTGTTGACGTTCAAGATGACGACGAGTTTGCTCATGTGATATGGTATGCCACGGAAATAACTGAGACATTGCCAAATTCTCCCTGGAAAATATTTTTAGGATGCAGAAAACATCAGAGCAGATCAGCTTTACATTTTCAAAAGGAATTTTCGATTTTTCGAAAATTTTGCCCAGAAAAACTGCCATATCGTAAACGTTTTGGAGAGCATTTCAACAGTATATGCGAGAAACGGAATATGCTTGTAAAGTTATCATTCGCTATTTCGTAATTCCTCGTCCCATAGTGAAATTCTGGCAAAGTTTGCCCTGCAAATTCCTTTTTTCTCTATACTATCATTAATAGCACAACTGGAAACAACTCCTAAGTTTTCAGTTGTGATCATACAAAAAACGTTTCGCATATTTGGAGAACGTTTTCTCCTCTGTTCTTTGTCGATAATACTTCAGAATTAGTTCCTAAATTTCTATGATCCTGAATTCCTACTTTATTTCCGTATTTCATCAAAGACAAATAATTTCAAATTGATGAAGCTTAAACAGTAAAGTTGAATTGAAAACACATAAAAATACCATTGTCATTGCCAGTTGATGAGAAATTTTTCAAATATATATATATGGAGCTATAATATGTATTCGAACATTTTCTTAAAACTTCACTAGAAACCCCTCCATTCCTCGTGATTGAATTCAATTCGGTTACTATCATTATAATTTTTCTTATTATCATGGAGCACAGTACAGTCCGATGAACCGACTGCTTTCGTTAGAAATTAAAACAACTTCCTATTTTAATGACTGTAACTTCCCACTTGTATCATATATATGGTTCAAGGATCCTTTCAGCAATAAATTTAGGCTAGAGACTCAAAATACGACTCAGGCCAACTTACGGATATAAAAAGTAAATTATTGGAATGAACAAATAAAATCAATAAACAAAACGCTACTGAAACAAGGATAAACAGACAAAGATAAGTAATAGACCTATCGGGATATCTATAACATAAATAAATAACTGCGACAGGCAGAACCATTTGCTAAAATTATACATGACGTAGTTTCCCTCTTCCCATACCGAAAAACTACAACTTCCAATGACTGCAATTGTAAACATATCCTGCCTGTTGCCAGTACTTCTAAACATCCCAAGCCTCACCAATCTCTGAAAGCTTATTTAGTTTTCTAGAACTCTGGATAGATGAGTACATTTTGAAACTATAAAACTGCAAATGAAAAAAAAAATCATTTATTCATTTATAATACAAAATGAATCAAAAATCATATGAACTGGAACTTTCAGTTTCAAATTAGTAGATGCAACTAATGTTCTACTTCAGGAAACTGAAAACGACAACTAAACAAGTAACAGAATAAACTGACTCAAATATTGCTCGTCATAATAACCAAATTTCTATAGAAACATATCATCAGAGCATCATATCTTCAATCGATTATACTAGCAAAACAAAATCTTAAAAAGAAAATGTAGAATAAAAAAGGACTAAAATTGTTAAGAAAAAAATAACAAGAGGGCCAAGTTTTTCTGAAATTTTTTCTGAAAAATAAGGAAATAATGGATATAGAAATGCGTCAGCATGTCCACTAATGAGTAAATTAACAGTTCAATGCACAGATAAATCCTATTAATCTGCATTGAAAAAAAGTAGTGGGATAAGATGGATTAGAGCCAGAATATCTTTAGCTAAATAGTAAGTTATATATTGCCATCCTTTCTACAGTGATTTAGTGAAGTTCGCAGAAATTAAAAGAAATTGTCCATAAAAATTTACTAAATGTTTGACAGCGTTCATAAACAGCTCACCTGAAAATTATTGCAGAAAGAGTGATAAGAACGGAATAAGCTTGACCGCAAAACATCAGTCGCACTTGAAAAAACGGAGGTAACCTACCATCAATGGTAACACTAAAGCTATTTATATGCAAGCACCAATTTTCGATTTAGTGAATTGGATAACACTCTTTAATTTTATGTGAGCTCAAAAAACTGAATAATGGAAGCAAGTCGCCTTTAGCACAGAATCAACAACGTTGGCACAAAGCAATTACTGGAAAAGGTGTTTGTGTTTGTATGAATTCGAAATGGAACCGCTAATAAATAATGAGCAGTAGCTATTACTATTTAAGCAACAAAGTGAGTCTCTCCGTCCCTACAAACACTAATGAAACACACTGCCAAAACTGCACACAATTATTTTGAACAGATTTTTGAAACAGTAGGTCAAGTGTTCAAGAGTAAATTTAAGCAAAAGAGTTCATCGAATTAACAACGATGATCTTAAACCACTGAAATCAAGATAAAGTGCACGGCAAGCATTCCTTAAATTTCGCAAATGAAAAAATTTTATACATACATGGTTAAGAAATTTTAAGAGAAGGTACACATCGCGATAACTGTAAAGCAACCAATAACCACAGGCCAAGATTCACTAATTCAGAAATCTAGACAAAGAATTTTATTGAGTTATCTAATTAAGAAAACATCAATACTCATGATTGGTTGACAGCAGATATCTTGTGCAAAAATGCCCTCATAAATAAGATTATCCCGAAAATGGAGGCACAGAACTCATACAACTGGAATTAAATGAATTTGCTTTTAAAGGAGATAGTAGACACATTCATTTGCAATCATTTGAAATATTCACTGAATATAATTTTCTCTTAGCTTATCCATTATTTCCATTGTTACATTCACAACTTCACTCGTCTTAGCCGTACCTATGAAACAACTTCTTCAAGACAGCAGAATAATTTCATTAACTTCATTAACATGAAGTTCAGCTTCTCTTTTTTAAGTTTAATACTTTTAACAATTCACTTGACCATTTCAGTAAGAACGAATAAGAAGTTAATTACAAAAGATAAAAACGGCGTGTGACAATGATTTACTCTAGTCAACACAATGTAGAATTTCTTGTTTTTTTTTTTTTTTTTTTTTTTTTTGGTAATAATTCATTAGTAGTAATTTTATGTTAACAATTCATTTACTTCACAAATATACAATAAATGAAATGTAACTCACAATAGACTTAAAGCGAAATAATGTTCGAAACAATCAATTACATTATTTTAGAACCGTAATTTTTGGTTACTAAAAGTGATTACAAACTATTTCTAATAAAACTTCATATTCAAAAGAAAAAAAGAAAAAAATTACTGCTGATACTCCTTTTCAGCACTCAGTAAGTGTTACGCCAGTAATTTCACTCGCTCATTGCTTCATAAATAATTTTCAGAAAAAGTAGAATTCTAATTCGTTTGCAAATCAAATCAAACAGGATTATGAATATATATATATATATATATATATATATATGAGTCACCTATCTTTGATCTCAATACCAAGTGATATGAAAATTTTGATTTCAGAACCTCAAGCAGTAATCTTACCTCCAACATCAGCAGTATGCATATGTCGTTCTGTGAGTGCAATAAACAAGGAATCACTAATCAGATTTGCATAATTATCTAGTCCCAAATATTTCAGCATATCTACACTAGCCCGAATAAAGGAAGTTGGATTCGCAATATTTTTACCAGCTATTTTAGTGCCACTGCCTCTGGTTCCCTAAAAATTACATACAAAAAATCATGAGAGAATCTCAGGATTTTAAAATTATTCGAAATATATTGAAAAAAGTCATTTTTTTAAATAATAAAACTAGAATTATCTTGTTTCGTATTTCCAATTATTGGATTACATAAGAATGCAGAAAAATCCTTGTCAACTAAAATACAAACCGTTTCAAAAACAGCATATTTGGAACCAATGTTGACACCTGATACTAACCCTGCTCCACCAATGAGGCCACAAGCTATGTTCGAAATTATGTTACCGTAGAGGTTAGGTAAAAGTATAATGTCAAACTGCTGCGGACGAGAAACAAGTTGCATCGATGCATTATCAATAATCATTGATTCGAATTGCAATTGTGGATATTCATTCTCGGCTATTTCCTTGCACACCTAAAAAATTAGGGATAAAAAAAAAAAAAAAAAAAAGAACAGTACGTCCTAACAAATTCAGCACAATTTTAAGAAATCCTGCGAATTACGACCAAATAATTTATCAAGAAACGAACTGGGCAGATCTTTGCAACTGAAACATAAAGAGTGTGTGAATGCTTACTCTTAAGAATAAGCCATCTGCAAGTTTTTGTATGTTAGCTTTATGAATTGCTGTAACTTTCTTCCTTTTGAAAGTTACTGCATATTCGAATGCAAAACGGGCAATCCGTTCAATATTCGCACGTGTAACAATCTGTAAATTAATGTAAAAAGACAATAATGAACTGAAAAGGAAATAGTGAGCTACAAACCTTCCTGCTCCCAAACACAACTCAGAAGAATAAGTATGCCAGGAATGTTTTTGAAAACTACAACTTTTGCTAATTCAGTCTATTCAAAATCACTATCAGAAATCGGTGACTGAAAAAAAAAAACCTTCAGACTTTCAACGACTCCTTTTTTGGCCTCATGTTCAAGTCCTGAATACTCACCTTCCACATTCTCTCTGGAAATAAAATTAAAAACCCAAACAGAAAAACGTAACACTATATTCTATTATTTAAATAAATAACAACAATAACAAATTATTGCTCGCTATTAATACATTCATCAACACAAAATATCTTTTGAAAACGAATAGAATATCCTTATTTTGTGAACTGAATGTTATCACTTTCTAAACTGAATTTAAAGTACTAAAAAGCAAATTAACCTGATGACCAATATATCCAGATTACTGTGTCGTGATGGAATTGAAGGTATGCTCACACAGTGCAAAATATTAGCATAAAGATCCAAACGCCGCCGTAATTCAACATTCCTTGATTTAAACTGTGGAACATCAAATTTAGTTTCAATGTTGCCCTTAAAAAATTCTAGTTTAAGTTAGCGAAACAATAAGCATCATTATTATGATTCTACAGCACTCAGCACCGTACCAAATAAATACTGCTAAAACTTTTTTGTATAATTTATTGTAACAGGCATTATTAAAACTTGCGCTGTTTTTCTAAATACATAAATTTATACTGATCAGGTAAAGAAACTCCAAAAAGAAAGAATCTGCTGACAAACTGATGTTAATCAAACTATGTCTATTGAAAGACTCATTAATGAATGTTCAAAACTGGATAGTTTAAAGTCAAATTCTCTATGCTTTACTAAGCAAAATTTTATTAGTGTTATGTCTGTTGTCTATCAAAAGAAACTCAGTTTAATATTTATGAGTTTGCATGAGGCTAATAAATAGTGTCAAGCTCTTTATTCTGGTCAAACTAATACGATTGCAAAAATCGAGCTCAAGCTTATGATGAGTTAATCAGAAATGTCACCAGGAAGACGAAACACCATTTAGGAGAAATTTTCCCTTTTTTTTTCTTTTTGCAAAACAACCTGTTTGTATACCAGAAGTATTAAATACAGGAAACATCTGAAAGAGAATAAAATTAAAAATAAACTTTTAAAGCTACTCCATTTCGACGAGTCGACAACAAAGCATACTCCATACCAGCATCCGAATGACTCATATCTGAGCTTAACGGCGTTTCCTCAAAATCTACCGGTACCTAATAACAATGCCGTTATGAAATATAATACTACTTTTTCAAAGTACTTTTATGTAATTCTAGAAACAAGAAAAAAGTGATGAAATATACTGTTCATGTTCTCTGGTGAACAATCAAACTTTTATAAAAATCATTTTTGCAGTTACAGTTTGGATTTAAAACCATAAGAAACTGCGGGCAAACGATAATACAAACTAGACTGCTTTAATTTCTGTGCTCACATCAGCATGGCCAAAAATATACTTCACATGGTTGATCATTTCTGGTCCCACACCATCACCTGTAAGTAACGTCACCATTTGACGTCCACCATACTTGGCTAATTTTGCCTGAAATAATTAAAAAGCGAAATGTCTTTAACAGTCCAATAGTTAGTTTAACAAACCATAGGGGAATATGTACATAGTAACAATCAGTTTAAGTAAATGAGTTGTCATCAATCAAGTGGAAAGGAGCAGTCATGTTTATAGGAATAATACTTTATGCAGTTTAGTAGCAAATAAAAAAGCCTGAACAACTTCAGAATTAAAATTTTTACATAATTCTTTTGAAACAGAAAAGAATGACACTTTATAAATAATTCTTATTTCACGTGATACTGTTTACCAACAAAACCCATTATCAAATTTTCAAAGCTGTCCAGTGCTTTACACTTTCAACGCAACACATTGCACAAAGAATTTTAACCTTTTTTCGAATTTGAGCTCTGTTAAATCGATACATTCTAATAAACTGAAGAATTCAACCATTAAATAATAAAAGTTAAAAACCTGTCTTTGTTGAAGGACATGGGATCGAAAACGATACATTTCACTGCTCGAAGTACTCCGTGAACTGGCAGTTAGCCCTCGACAAGCACACTTTAGACTCAGAGCATTAGTTCGAAATAACCACTGCACCGATTGAGTTGCTGACAGCATCAGAGATACGGTAAGGAAATATAAGTCCTTTACTTCTCTAAAAAATTCTGCTTATCTTTAGGTTACTTTATTACACCTACTGCAATAAACTATTTGGATAAAATATGACAGCTATATAACAAAGCACTCAATAAGCCGTTGTATAAAAGCAATAAAATGAAATGTTATGTCTCACTAATATGTTATTGTGACTAGCCTGTACTGCTAATTGGAAAACTCATCCCAAGCATTCACCCACCAATATCAACTATCCTGCAGATCCCCGCAGCGTTCACCCAAAACACAGAGAACGAAGCCCGCACTCCCATCCTCCTAACTTGCCTCTTAGCCTGTGTGAAAACAGCTGTCCCTTTCAACGAGTCACATTTTTTTTACTCTTCATTTTATGGGTTTTATCATTATTTCCTCCCTCATGCCGGTCATTCGTCGTTAACTTTCTCGTCGTGACAAATTGTACGGCACTGGGAAATCTTGGTCGAGAATTATTTTTAAAGACTACCTCAAATGTTTGTTTAATTTTCACATCCATTTATCCAAAGCACATTAAAATTGAAGCACTTCACTAGAGACGTGGGGAGGGAATAAATGAGTTGAGAGAAGAAGCCATGAAATCGATGAAGGCAAATGAAATTAGAAATCTAAAATTTCTTTTTAAAGACAGTCATTGATTCTTACATTGATCTATTTTGAACATCATTAAAATCATGCTATATCATTCTTCACACACTGTTACTGTACTAATACACATTAGTATCTCGCTTATACAACAATTAAGTTGAAAGCATTTCCTCTGGAGTTTTCTTTTCCATAGTAGTTACAGATGTCACTATTAATCATTCTGAAAGGCTTGTAATTATGAGTAAATGATACAGTGAGTGCAAATAAAACATCCGTATATTGGTAGCCGTCAAAATTGCCCAGCAAAGCAAATTATTTGGGTGACAATACAAGCTCGACAAAATATTATACATTAGTGTCTCATTTATTCTTGTTGAGGAATGTTACCAAACTTGATAATCAGTCTAAGCAAAGTTGGGTCTAAACACTGCCAACAAATGACTACTCATTTTATCTACGAGTTCTAGAAGTTTCTCATTGACCATTTTCGCAGCTTCTCGGAATATTATATGAGAAGGTTTCAGCAATCATTTCTTCAGCATTCAAGGTCGCCCTTTTTTATTATGTGTGGAGTTCTGGTAGGGATTTTGCTTTCATGATTTCTGTAAAGTTCGGGTAGCCTTAAGCTGATTTCTACCCGGCTTGAGCATAGCTTATTACTGTGACACGGGTGTCATCCTGCCATTGAACAGTCATCTAATTCCATTAAAATCTTTTAGACAGAATAACGTAGGTGTGAAATTGGTAACATAAGAGTTGATTTTGTCAAAAAGCAAATAGAAATGTGGGATTTGTTTGCGTGCTTTTAAACAATGAATCAGTCGAAACATTGCAATGAATCTATTTCCGACTTAATTATCCATACTGTGGTACACATATACGTATGTCAGTAATGTAAAAGTCACATTACTTATATCTGTAGCGCAGTATAAAAGTGTCCATTATTGCTTGAGTATGCTTGAATACTGAGATTCAAATTCGGGAAACATGATGTGGCAGGCACGAGATATTCTGTTCCTTAATAACCATAAATAAAATCCCGAAGGTCGTTACAAACAAATTTTCCTTTAATAAATCCACTACTTTCGAACTAGACATTTTCGCACGAGCTACACGAACGGTCGCTTCATAACAGCACAAGCTTTCATCAGCTAATCTTCAATGGACTTAAAAAGCTATGTCGAAGAGTAATATTTCCTGAACTGGAAAATGGATTGAGAAAGGGACTTATCAGGTTTGCAAAATTAAGCGAGACATTAATCATTCATTTGAAGAGATGGCATTCAGGAACACATATGATTTTTATGATGATTCAATTCTATCACTTACAATAAACAGTTCAATTCGTTTCGAAGGGAAATCAAACAAGGGAATTGCAATGAATGATTGCAGGGAAAAGGGGAGGAAAAGGAATGACATTATATTTCTTCAATTAGCTACTTAAAATTAATGGAGAGAAATTAAACTTTCTTTTGAATTTCGTCACTTCAGTTTTTAATGTCTCAAAACTTGCTTTCTCCGTGTAACGAACAATCTGTTTCATCAAATCATTCTGAGTAAGGCTTCAGCTAATTCACACAATGGTATTCAGTCCGAAATAAAATAGAGCTACTACTTATAATCAATGCTTAGCTAATTTTAATGATGAGTGACGTCAAAAAATCTGAATTCAGTGGGTAACATTAAAAGACTTTGTTGTGACTAATACTGGCTTCAAAGAAATTAAAGTTGATAAGAAGTATTTTTTGTTTTCTTTAAAATGAAAAAGTATGCAAACTTATAGAAATTTATCCCAGAATGTGAATTTATTAGCAGAATTAATGCACATTATATAGGATCTCTCCAACTCCTACGGAGCTTTATAGTGGATCCTAATGATTTCCAATCATTGTTAGATAATTATGACTGAGAAGTAGATAAAACGACATTCTTTTACAGCAACAGTCCCAAAAAACTTTGAAATCCAACTTCATTTAAACCAATTAAATGAAAGTTAGCGAGTGGAATTCAATAATTTGCGCGCTTAAAAAAAATTTCTTGACTTTGTTTACATAGTTGACATACATGTTAAAGCCTTGCTCCGCAGTACACAATTTCAGGTCATTCAACATCATCATTTTTCTCAGTCGCAAATTTCTCACACAAATTTTTCTTGATCCAGTAAGTCAACCATATAACAACTTCATGTAATGAACTGATAAGTTTCCCCATTAGTGCATATGCCAGTATGAAAGTGTTAAATAAACATCACCCAAGACATAGTTTTATGTCTTGAAAGATAGTTTCGTCTTGATGAAAACAAATGTTTCCTTAATGACCTCTCTCATTCTTTCTTAATCAACTCACAATTCTAAAATATGTCTACTCAGTCTTTTTCTAAATCTTACTTCTTGTGCATTTTTGCTATTATTCTAGACTGTGGAAAAAATGATTTGCTGATTCTGGAGTCGTGGATTAAAATTTTCTATGTTATTCGGGAATTTCAAGCACAGGAGAGACTAGACAAGTTTAGGAGGGCAAAACACGTAAAAGAATGTTTGAGGGGTACTAATCTGCCAGATCCACAAAGTTTTTTGAATACAAAAATTCAAAAAACTTCATGGATTTTTAATGTGAATTTTCAGCATTATCAAATCAGCTAAGTCATCTACCAAATAATCAATGAATCGATTTTTTATTTCTTAAATAATCTATCTGGGAATAATAGCCAGCTCCTCTTATCTTTTTCACAATTTTTTAATAATTATTTAGTTGTAAATTTTGTAATTGGTAATTGAAGTGTGCTTTTGAACTTTCGCAACTTCTAGCTGATTTATTTCTCGGCAAACCTCGGATTTTTTTTTAGATCTTGGTAATGAAAAAATTAAATTTTATGAACACTAAACACTTTTTTCGACGAGTGGTTAACGTTTCATATTTCATTCACTTTTTACGGCTGGGAAGGTGTAATTTGCAAGACTTCTGATAGGAATCAATACTTTTCGTCCAGATTTTTCTAAAACAATTGTAATAATGTTACTAATGTTGATCATTATTTCATTCTCTCATGGATTACCACTCCTCCTCTTTTCATCCAAATTACCAAATTACTGTTTGATCTGATTTGTTTCACTTAAGTGATAACATCTAATTGGAAATTGTTCTGAGGATTTAAATAATGTCTCTTGGATGACGAAATAGTCTTTTATTGAAGGACCTCTTAAAGATTACGGAAGGATTCAGTTATGCTTTGTACTGTACAAAAGATTCATGAATAGAAGGGAACTTTATGCTAAATGAAATTAACCAGCATTTACAACTTTTTTTTCAAATAAAAGAAATATCAGAATTATGCTTTTGATTCTGAAATAAAAGTTCAATAGAAAGAGTAAAGAGAAGAAAATTTCACATTCTTCGATTTTTGTACTAATGTTCTCGGATGTTAATAACAGTAAGTTACCTAACGATATAAAAAATGAAAATAATATATTTTTTTTTCAATGGAATAGTTCTCTTTTTTTTTAATAGTATTTATTTCAGTGACTGTTTTTGGACATTACTTTAGATGACGCAGACTTCTCTAATTCCTACCACACTAATTTATAAAAATTGTTAATCATCAGTAGTTTTGTGGCCACTCCAACATGTGCTTCGTGGAATCGGTAGAAATAAACCGAGATTTTTAGTCGTGAGATAATGATCTCCATGGATGATAGGTGTAGCAATACTGAATAAAAATTTCTCAAGTATTACTTCTATATTTTTAATAAAAGTTAACTAAACTTCGCGGATACTTAAAATTATTGCAGCGAATGAATTTCAAGAACTAATAGGTTGATGGATAGCGTGTTACAATCCTCGAAATCATTTAATCAGATGCAGTTACAAAGTATTCAGAACAGAATAAAATAAAGTAGTCTGAAAATAAAAGTTCTTTAAGCTACGTATACATTTTTGGGGAGCACTCAAAAATTCCGGCTTTGTATACACTGAAGTCTTTTAGTGCAGAATGATGTAGATTAGAAGCAGAAAAAGAAGAGAGGTCGAAAGCTAGTTTTTGACTTATAAGCACTTAGTTGTAGTGATGCAGTTGTTGGAATAGATGGAGGAACAGCTGCGAAAGCTCATTTCTTAAAACACAATTCTATCGAACGAAGCTATTTAACTCTGTACAAACTCTTCATTTTGTTACCCTTCAAACGAAGCTAATCTAATATTTTAGCTATTAAGTTTCGGCATTTTAACAACTTTTCAATCCTTTGATGTATTTGTTCATCTTAATCCCAATAACCTTCTTTTCTCTGTGTACATAACAACCATTTGAAATACCACTAATGCATCGGTAATTTTTCAAACAATGCGTCATATTTGTAACCTTAACCTTCTTCTGCAGACTCCTCCATTTTGTCACATCATTTGTATTCACTACATATCACAAATATCTAAAGGGAAGTACAATTATAATAAATCTGATTCCCGATATACCACTGTTCTAACATGATACATGATTTCTTAAATATGATAGAATCGACAATCCTCCAGCCAGTACAAATCAGATTAGCTGAGTAATGTGTACGTATAAATTCCCGCACGAATGTTGCAGTTTGATTGATCAAAAAAACTGTCTTCAATGCTTACTACCAGAAAAAGTCTTTTCAAAACAATAAACAGTAGTCAATGCTAATTTGCTTCATCACAAATAAAATTAAGT